CTAAACTCCTTTTGTTTCCAGCTGCGCAGAGCGCACCAGGAGGCTGACAGGAAGATGCTTTGGGAGGAGAGCGAGAAGGCCCTCTGGCGCCGCGGGATCGGGATCGGGATCGACCGAGGCTGGGCGGCGATCTGCTTCGATCTGCTTCGATGTTTTCGTCCGATCGCATGGGACGTCCAACCAGATGTTCTCCTCCCCATGCTTCCCACCCATGCCTCCAGTTTTTTTTCGCTTCGCAAGGTCCCTTCTCTCCAAGTTCAGAAGGTTCCTTCTCCAACCGGGGAGCGATTATCTCGAAAGGGATGGGACGTGACCGGCCAGCCTAATTCTACTTGTTTTTAAGAGCAATTTCATGGTCTCCTGCTTGGTTTGGTTTCTCCATGCTCCTCCATATGTTTAGCCTTGTTCATCACACCAACGTCGAGGGGACATATTTAGAATGTCAGCCTCGAGTATGCAGACTATTGATCTGTCCGGCACAACAGATTCTGGCTTCATGAGGATGACTTGCGATGCATGGTGGAAGCTGGGAAATTTGTTCAGGATTTGTTACGCAATTCGTTTCAGCTCGTGATCAGGCTTGGATGCTCAAGGTTTCGGCAAAGGCGCCAAAGACAAGGGCGAGATCAAATGCCATGGTGTGTAGTACCCATTGTACCGTTGGTCGTCCTGAACTCTTGTCTTCTGAGGTTTTGACTCAGCCACTACTCCATGCATGTGAGCGGTCAAGTTAAGAACCTGCTCCAAGTACCGCAAGCTCGAGAGATGCCAAAACGAACTCTACACCAGTTCAAGTCGCAGATCGAAAAGGCCACTTGGAAGTTGTGCAAGGTCAGTATACGGGTTATTGATTGCTTGAGGCTGAAGCTGACAAGGATGCGGTGACAGCAGATGGGGTGATGCCGATGTAAATTATAGCAGCCCAAGAAGACCACTTGAAAGTTGTACAATTGTTGCTTGAGCCAACAAAGATGCGGCAAAAGCAGACGGGAACATCCGACACGAAGAGCACACGTTACGGCGTAGAACCCTGCAGGCAGCTTGTACTCTCCCTGAGGACTCTGCCTAGCGAGTGGCTTTGCGTGTCCTTAACCCGCGACAGGTTGGGACACTTGCAGCGCTACCCCCCCCGTTTGCAGCTCGTGACGGACACTTGGATGTTGTGTGGATATTGATTGATGCTGGAGCTGACAACAATGTCAGGAACGGCAACGGCATTGCAGCTCATGAGGGTGGGTGCTTGGACATTTGCAGTGATGAGTGGTCAATAAAGTCGCCCAAACTGTAGTTTTGGTGTGGGGAGCCAGTTTACCGTCACGGCTTGGGGGGGACCCAAAACCATCAAGAACGGATGTGTAAATCCACCCAAGCCGGCCAGGCTTGACTCTCCGAGTCATTTTCAGATTTCATGGTCATCCTAACTCGAGGAAAACCTGCCACCCACGTATTTCTTCTATGATATAGTGTACATATATCATATATCTGATTTCAGAAGCAGATTTTGGGGTAGTTTGTCGGATACCTTGGCTGAACAAAAGCAAATGGTTTGGTTTTCGCCATGTGGACTTCTTGATCCAGTCCACGTTTCCTTTCTCCACTGGGAACTTCAGTGATTGATGCAAGATCGCGGAACTTTTGCCGAAGTCCCCTCAGCAGAGGCCTCATTTTGCCAGTCCTTCGTGACTTTCCTTGTTTTCTCTTTTTTTGCTTTGACCTTTGGGACTGAAAGGAACCTTTTTCGACCAAAGGATTCTCATGTTTTCGGCAGCTGAATGACGCCCCCCGACCTCACCACGAAGTCTCATTGCGTTGATCCTGAGATGACCAGACCTCACCTTCGTCGATCGACGAGGCTCCACGTCGTCACCGTCAGTCGCTCGAGACAATGCGGATTTCGGATTCCATGCGCTTGGATTCCAGGCTTGCGGTGAGTTCAAGATTGGATGAGGCCAGGGCTTTTCTGCAAAAATGAGCGTGGGTTTGGTTTGGTGGAGAACAACCTTAATTTGGGACGCCCACTTGGTTGGGAACATTTGAGGTGTGGACTCATGCTTGGGCTCGGTATGCTGATTGCTGGTATGCTGGTTTGAGCCCCGCTGCACGTTTCTATCTTTGCCACACCTTCATAGTCATCCTTGCCGCAATGTCTTAGCAAAGGCTTCAGTTCTGCCGTTCTGACACGAGAAAACCGTGGATATCGATAGGTGCCATGTGGCTATGAGGTCGTTGTTCCGCTACCACATCATACCTCCTGCGCTTCGCCGAGCGCCGACTCCGCAGCGGATCTCGCTAGACTCGCTAGGCCCGACGAGATGAGAGTTTTGGGCATCCTCACGAAATGGACGACGATGAAACCAACAAGGCACTGCTTCAGTGCCTGGGAGGAAGCGTTGGCCAAGTGGAGGATCGAAGATCGAAGTTCGGGTGACTTTTTGCCGGGTCTGTCACCTTCAAGCAAGGTTTCGAAGCGGGACCCATCCAATCTGTTTTTTTTTTTCAATTTCTTGTGGTTGCTATGTAGGTAAACCGTATAAGTTTCGTGTTTCTCCAAACTTTTTTCAGCGCATAGCAGACAAGATTGACGGATGTGCTGCCACCAATGATGGATGTGCCTTAATGCCATGTTTGTGCCATTGCCTTCTCCGCGCTGGCTGAGGTGCTCTTTTTATTTTTCCGTGCGAGGCGGAGGTTGAGGGTTTCAGCCCCACTTCCAGGCTTCTTTGAGAGGTGAGATGAATCATCGGCTGGGACGGCATAGGTGCATGAAGCTTGTGAGAAGCAGAAAGCCTAGGTTCGTTTTGGAAGGTCAACACAGGCTACAGTGACTAGAGGCTGGGCCAGGCTGCAGGAAGCTAGTCCAGAGAGTTCAACATCGATCGAATTGAATGGCGCCACACATGGAGTCTCTTTGGAGTCTCCGACGTCTAGAGAAATCACCTCCCAAGATGCTTCTACTGCGTTGGCAAAGGCCCGACGCACATTGGCCCCCCCTTGACCCTTGCTCGGGAGCCTGTGTCGCTGTTGACGCGCATTTTTTTCGATTGTTTGAGATGGTCAGATGATGTCAGAGGGTTTTTGAGATAGACACGCGAGCTCCCGATACTCGGGTTTCCGAGATGGCTTGGCCTGAAGGCCAAGTGCCTTGTACCTTGTACCTCAAAGCTTGCGCAGCTTGGCATGGGCTGAGATCATTGGTAGATATTCCAAGAAGTTGGGATGATCAAGCAGAGTGTTGTTCTGGTCCGACTGGTGCAAAATAGAAGGAAAGGATCGAATCTTGAAGGAATTTCTTTAACTCAGCTGGTGTTTTATTCCCTCATCTATTCATCTCCGAGAAAGCACCAGCCAGATCTCACAGGAGTTTGTCAAAGCAGCTTCATCATGTAAAGGATGCTGGGGAAGCACAAAGCCCGCTAAAGTCCTTAAAGAACGGAACAACAAGTCCTTAAAGGGATCACTATCAACGCGTGTTGTATGATGGCAGACCCGACAAAGAACTGATCATTCTCCTCGAGTTTTCGAACTGGAGGTGCAAACATATCGACACGACGCGTCAAGCAAAGGGGGATGGAACCTTGGTATCTGCGTGGCCTTTCTCCAAGTTGAAGGTCATCAATTTGCTCTGAATCCCCGTCCCCTTCTCCATGCTGGACTGACGTGTTTAGGTGGGACTGACACTGGGGCAGAGAGGATACGCCGACAAACCGACGTGAAGGAAATCTTTGTAGGCCAGTGACCTTAGCCTTAGTCTGATTGGGTCGCAACATGGTCATTGGTGCAGATCTGCCAGAACGAGATTCGTAGAAATCGCGATTCCCACTGGTTTGTCGACCCTAAATTGTTCTAAAGCCAACGGATTGCTCATTCCTTGCGATGCACATGCACAGCGGCTGCAAAACAAGAGGCAGTCTTCCCGCGAACAGGCCGAAGGCACGCTGGAAAGTTGCGAGCGGCGAGCGGAAGGTTGCTGGTCCCCACTGGTTCTTCGAGTGTTTACGTTCTTTGTATCTGCACCCATGGGCCCATCGTTCATCAAAATAACCTCCGGTCCTTTGGTCAAGCTTTATTGATCTCGTACTCTTTGGACAAACGTCCATGTTCTTGAGTTCTTGATTCTTGGTTCAAATGGACAACCTCTTTTTTTCAAGACTCTTTTCCCCAAGGTCTGGACAGGCTCGTTTGCTCGGAGCGGCTCCATGCTTATTAAATGCGCAAAGAAGATGCTCGACTCCGCCGGTCTCAACAGAGCCAGGCAACACAAAAATACACTCCCCAATTGGGTCTGTGGTGAAGGTGTGTCTCTCAGAAACCAAAAGATCTCCCAAAAGCACGTCTTTCTGAGAGGGGCCTGACACGCCCAGAACATCGGCAACGACGACCGACGATCAAGGGCAGCAAAAGCACAACTGACATATTCTGACGAACGTGCCACACGCGAGAGTGAGCTCAAGTGCAGCCCGGTCCCCACCCGACCTGCACGCAGTTCTGGAGGGAGTCGGCATCGCCTGCCATGGCCATAGGGGGTCGGCGGTGTGCGGAGGAAGAACGGGGGGCGGAACCGAGGAGATCTGGAGAGGTCGTCGGGATGAGGTTGTTGGGAATGCCGAAGGGTTTTTTGAGCTTCATTTGGACCATGAAGAGTATGGATGAATATGGATGAGAAGTTTGTTTTTTCTGACCACGGTGGCTTGCTGGCTATTGCAGGTTTCAGTTCCTTGCTATGTACGTGGATGTACGTGGCAATTTAGGGAGTCCGTGAAATGTTGTGTTTCACTTTCGCCGATCGCCATATGTTGTCCGGCATGTACACGACCAAGCTGACGACTCACAGGTTGCGTTCGACAACAATCTGAACAACACGGTGTTTGGAGCGTGTTCCAAAGATTGGGCGGCATAAACTTGAGTCAAGTCTTAAGATCACCGTGGTCGGGTCTTGGAGTTTTGGTTGGCTCCACGCCGCCGACGAGTTGTTGGCTCATGTGCTGGTCCATCTAGTCCAGGCGGTGTGCCACTCCCGGGAGCAGCTTCTGGAGGCGCAAGCAGTTGATGGGCAAAGAGGTGGGTGATGATGGTCAGCTGAAAACAGTATAAGCTTCTTTGGTTGGTTATGCCCCTTGCCAATCATCATCCGTTGTTGCTCGGAATGGATGCGGGAAGGATCAAGCATACGACAGTATGTGACATATACTTGCACTTGTTATTGCAAGTGAAAGACCTTCCTCCCTGCGACCAATGAAGTCCCTCACTTTCGGATTGAAGTCCTTCCCACTCCGCAGCCCTTTGGGCACTCCAGATTCCCGAAGCGAGACAACGAGCTCTGACCCAGAAGGGTCGTAGAAACTCAATGACTTCTGCTATACCAAGGTCTATGCTGCTCGTGTGCGGTCACCCAGGCTGAGAAGTTGTTTTCCACTGACGGGCTTCGCCAAACTTCACTTTCGTCTGCGCAAAACCTCTGACGTCCGGCAGACATGGTTTCCGTCCATGGCTTCCTTCCGGAAGCGGGGATAGATGGGCGGCCCAATACACTCCCTGATAGAAAGGCACTTGTCATCTGAAATCGGGGCCATGCCATCCACGTAACCATGTTGCGTTCACAGTGTGTATACCTGGATCTTGCAACTATGCAACGTTTGCGCCTTTTGGATGAAAAGGTAGACATTCTGTATAGTTGGAAGATCCAGGTATATAGTATACACGGTCTTGATGCGCGAAATCATGCACTTCTCTGAGGCAGCCGCCGTGCCACCTCGGTGGCTGCAGGTGTCTTGGCAACAATGAGTTGGGTTTCAGGCAGGGAATCTGCAGAATTCCGAATTCCTGTATCCCGTTAGAATCCGTTAGATATCAACATAGTGGACTCAGTATTTGAGTTGGTTTCTCACATGGTGAACTTGCCTATCAACACTACGGAGGCTCTTTCCCTTTTGCAGCAATGGATCACCTTCCAACCTTTTATACAAGGCAAGTCCCCTGTACAGATCTGCATTTGGCAGCTCACAAAGCCTTGATGGACAAAATGACAAGCACAATCATATGATTTCTTCAGAGTCATAGGCTGAGGTACCTTTTATGCCGTAATATATCGGCTTAAAAGCTGCACGGGGTTTGATGAGCTCCGCGGCGTGCAACAAGTGCCGTGCTGCCCCACCTGTGGTGGGAGATAGCTGGTGCTTGAGTTGCTCAGCTCTGGAGGCAATTGCCTCTGAGCTTAAAGGAAGGTGGGGGTCGGTTGAATTGAGGCGACTCGCCGCTGACCAGCTTGTCGAGCAGGCGAAGTCTGTCAAGACTTTGAGGATTCTTCCCTTGAGGTTGAGGTTTGAAGGTGAGGATAAGAGTGGGTCGAAACACACTTCCTCTCCGCTAGGAGCCACTGCTAAGGCTCGCGGAGCAACACCCCCACCTCCAAAGGCACCACCTGTTGCCAGAGAGACTTCGACTAAGGCTGAGGTTGTTGAGACACCCGAGCACGCCGCTGAGGAGTCTGAGAGTGACGAGGAGAGCGAGTACACTTACGAGGAGTGTTCCGAGGAGCCTGAGGTTGAGACGTGCGTTGAACCCCTTCGGAAACCTCCCGTTGAGAAGGAGTCCGTGACGCCCCAAAAGGGCGCTGGATCTGGAGAGGCTGCAGAGTCGAAAAAGAGGAAGCGTTGTTCAGAAGAGGTGCGTGCAGTTCCCGTTGCCCCCAAAAAGGAGAAGAAGGAAAAGAGGCATTCGTCGGGCCACAAGAGAAGGCGTGGTCGTCGTGGAGGTTCGAAGCATCAACAATCTTCGAAACGAAGACACGATCCAGAGGCTCGCATTCATCGTCGCAAGAGCGTGCAGAAGCTGGCTGAGCTCAAAGCTCAGGACAAGCCCTTGTCCCCTAGGGAGAAGGAATGGCGACGTTGAGGCAAATCTTTGAGGAGTGGAAGGAGGGTGATTTGTTCACCCCGAGTGAGACAGCGGAATGGCATATGCTCACCCCTGTAAAAGGGGATATTGCAATGATTCCCTTGGGCAGCACCGATCTAGAACAGCCTCCACCAGGTACAGCTGCTTTCCTGATACTGGAGCGAAGCGTGACATCAGATGGAGGTATGGAGTTGGCGGCCAAGTTCATTGGAGGAGAAGACAAGGAGGGCAGCAAGATGCTTTCTTTGTGGTTCAACAGAAGAGGAGGAGCTATTCATCTATGCAGCAGCTTTCCTTGCACTCATTTCGACCCTCGACTGTTACATGCCACTCAGGTCCGCTTCTTCACCAACGAGAACTTCACCGCCGAATACTATGGGGCTCATCAGAGAAGACAGGTGAAGAAGTGGTTGACTGGAGCAGAGGCCGAGGAAATAGAGGTCAGTGGAGGAGAGGAGGCCGCCCGAGGACGTGCAGAGGCTGCCGAGTTGGAGAAGGCTGTGGCGCGCGAGAAAGGAAAGGGAAATACTACTCCGAAGTCGGCTCAACGACCTGGAGCACTGCGCAAGGCAGCCCCAAAAGCAGAAGGGGCTGCACCCAAGGCCCGCGTCTCCAAAACTCCTGGAGGCAAGACGCCCGGGTCAGGAGATCCGAAGACAGTGACAGGAGAAAAGGCCGCCAGTCGAGAATTGCCAGAGGAGCTGAGGCTGGACGAAGGAGCTTCCCTCAGCGTCGCAGGTACAGCAGAGCTCAAGGAGAAGTTGGAGGCTTTGAGGCTGAGGCTTGGAGGAGCGTCGAAACCCAAGAGGGTACATTTTGCGCCGGAATCCGAGGCGGACGATGGAGAGGATGCAGAGCAGGAGGTACCAGCCGCTTCAAGCTCTGTTCAGGGATCGAAGAGCTTGAGCACGGGCTTGACGCTGAAGAGAGCCACTCAGAGGTCAGAGGATACAAGAGATACTTCTACGAAGAGCATCTCATCACAGTTGGCATTGCAGGCTCAGCAGATGGCCGAGAATCCGCAAGGGTGGAAGAAGACGTCCAAGAGCCCCAGCACAGAGAAGGAGAAAGGCAAGGAGGATGTGTTGGCCCTTTTGAACCGTGTGCTGGGGGAGACCTCGAGCGCTGGTCGGGGCGGAGACGGAGGAGATCCCCCAGAGAAAGGAAGGAAGCGGAGCCGAGGAGGATCCAAGAAAAGGAGCAAAAAGAAAAAGGACAAAGGAAAGAAAAAGAAACGAAAACTAGTGAACGGGGTCCTAGTCTCAACTTCCAGCTCGGAGGATTCATGCAGCGAGTCCTCAGGCGACGAGACCGACGAGTTCGAGGCGCCATTGAGGCGACGAGCCAAAAGCAGCCCCGGAAGTGTCCTGAGATTGCTGGTGAGGAAAGCACAAACAGCGTTGGACCAATCCTCCCTCGTCGAGGTCGACCCGACCGTCAACAGTGCTATCACCGCAGGGGTGAAGTTGGTAACTTACTACCAGTTGCATATCCGTCCTCACCACAGTCATGCTCGAGGCCAGATGAGAGACATGCACTTGATGGCGCAGACCCTCGACTTGATTCGATCAGGACAGGTCGCCTTGGCCTGCGACCACCTGGCGGGCCACTTCCTAGCCACCCATCAATCCCTGTTGGATCAGGGATGGGGCCAGGCCAGGTTTTTGGAAGTCATGGAGGGCGAAGAGACCAATGCAACCTCAGCAGCAATCCTGCTAGAGACGAGACGTCACGCCAAAGCATCCATGAAAGCCGAGACCCCGGACGCATGGTTTCCAGGTCGAAACAGAAGTTGGCTTGGAGGAGATGGCCGAGGAAAAGGTTGGTGGCAGCCCGAGAAGGGAAAAGGCAAGGGAAAGAAAGGAAAGTGGAAGGAGAAGGACAAAGGAGACAGAGGAAAGGAAGGCAAAGGAAAGAATGTGTGGAAAGACTCCCAGGACAAACCCGATCAGAGTCAGAAATGAGAGAGATGGAGGATGGGCAGCCTCTAAATCCCTTGTCACGGCATGAGGGTCTGGCGCCAAGTTTAAAGAGGAGAAAGTCGAACCCGTTTGAAGAGGTTGAGCATTTTGAGTCAGAGAGGTCAGAGGAGAAGGATTTGCGTGTTGTCGCTCAGGGTTTCAAAGAATTCAAGACTGGCCAGGAGATTCTTCGAGCGGTGGGCAGCCGGCTTATAGGCCTGCAGAGCGCTGGCTGCCTACTAGCTTGGACAGTTGCGATGGCTGGAGACGTTGACCTGAGTCCAGCATGGGGTTGGATTCACCGCATTGTTTTGAAAAAGGAGAGGCCGCAGCTTGTCACGGGAGGCCGAGAAAGGCCGTCTCGTTCCCCCTGAGAGCAGGAGAGCTTGGTGCGTTGATTGAGGAGTTGAGGAAGAAGAGGTTGTCGGAGGTCGAAGAGAGGACTTTCGTTGAACAGCATTGTGAGGATTGTTGGTTGTATGTTGCTCTTCACTCCGTGAACGGCCTGGCTGGCTTTAGCGAACCGCTAGCCGCTGGCAAATGGAGCGCAATCGAGCGTCGAGGGGTGGAGAACACAAGAGCCGCCGTGAAGAGGCTGCTGGACTCCCCGGCCGAATCGATCGAGCCCTTTGAAAAAGTTTGCTCGGATTTGAAGTGCGCTCGTGTCGGGTATGACGGTGAAGAACTTGGTACATGTGAGTCTTTAACGTTAGAGCAGGTTCTCCCAGCGTTGCCCCCTCACGGTCATGGTGGTTCTATTCCTTTGGGTGCAGTTCTGTCTCCTGCAACTTTTGCTTTGCTGGAAAGGCCTGCAGAACTTTTGAGAGAGGATTTTGTTAGACCTATCCCCCCAATTCCAGGGAAGGCTCATTTTGGAAAAGGTGAACGGATGCAGGTGTGTAAGGAGTTGGTGGATAGAGGCATTTGCGCGTGGGTAAAGGCCGAAGAAGTGTTGATCTTCAAAGGAAAGAAGATCCTTAACGGAATTTTTGGTGTGCGCAAGCCAGCAGTTCTTTCAGACGGAAGACCAGTGTTGCGAGTGATCATGAATCTGCGTGCTAGCAACTCCATTCTTAAACAACTGAAGGGTGCTGTGAACTCTCTTCCTGCCATCACCTGTTTTCAAAGTGCTGTGTTGCAGGGCAATGAGAACCTCCACCTGTATCAAAGCGACATGTGTTCCGCCTTCTACCTCTTTCGTCTTCCAGCGGTTTGGCATAAGTATTTGTGCTTTAATGTCAGTGCAAGAGGTGAGGAAATAGGAGCAGAACAGAATCAAGAATACTTCTTGAGCTGCTCGGTCCTTCCGATGGGCTGGCATTGCAGTGTTCGGGTGATGCAGGAAATCAGTGAGAGGGTCCTATGGAACGCCGGGCTCCCCACAGAGCAACAGATCCGAAGGGGGTTCGCCGTGCCAGCGATCCTGACTCAATGTGCACGAGAGTGCCTCCGTTCAGACAGGGGTTTTTTGGCAGGTCTACCTCGACAACTTCATGGGAGGCGAGAAAAGGCTGACAGGAGACAACCCGCAGGTAGGCAACGACTTGCACAATACAGCTGAGTCCGCTTGGGCCAAAACAGGCATCATCTCATCAGACAAGAAACGTGTGAGTGATGCGACAGCAATACAAGAGCTCGGCGCCTTGATCGAGGGAGAGATAGGTTTCGTTGGTGGTTCTCCTAAGCGGTTTTGCAAATTACTTCAGGCTACCCTTTGGACTTTGAGTCAACCCCTTTTGGACCGCAAGCAAACACAAGTGATTGCCGGGAGATGGGTCCATGTCTTGCAGTTCAGGCGTCCCGGTATGGGTTTCATCAACGCCAAGAAAGGGGACAAAGAAGTGTCGCTTAAAACAAAGCGTGAACTCTTTTCAGTGATGTGTGCAATCCCCCTTTTACATACCTCCTTAAGGGCCGAGGTTGTTAACTCCTTCTGGTGCAGTGATGCATCTGAGAAAGGGGGTGCAGTAGCTAGTGCAACTGAGCTGTCGTCCGAGGGGAAGGACTTCCTTATGTCGGCAAAGCTTGCTAGTCGAAGTCTTGGCACCGCCCCAATCTTGGTGATCGCCCTTTTTTTCGGGAATCGGAGGTACCTTTCGGATCTACGATATCCTTGATATCATTCCCCAAGGAGCCATTGCCGTTGATGTGCATAAGCCTGCCAATAGGATCGTCAGTCGGCGTTGGCCTGGCGTGAAGATTTTGAGGGACATAAATCACCCCAGAGGATGTCCATGAATGGGCCCTTGACTTCAGTTCGGTTGCAGAGATTCACCTTTGGGGCGGTTTCCCTTGTCGTGACTTGAGCTCAGCCAGAGCTTTTAGGAAAAATCTGGAAGGTGACAGCAGTGGCCTGTTCTTTGAGTTCCTGCGGATCTGGGAGCTACTGGTTGACAGTTTTCCGGGAAAACGTGGCCTCAATGGACGAGGAGGCGGCTGCTGAGATCTCTCAGTGGATGGGGGTTCACCCCTACTGGCTGGATTCATTGGATGCAGTCCCTATGAGGCGTCCTCGACTTTGTTGGACTTCCGAGATAGTGGAAGAGACTTTGGATGGTGTGCTATGCATTCCGGAACGTCGCTGGACGCGGATTGAGGCGAAAGCACCTTATCCAGCCCTGCATCAGTGGCTCGAGCCCGGGTGTACCTGGCCAGGACAGCAACTGGTGGAGGGGGTCCCTACTTGCATGCGGGCTGTGCCTAAGGATGCACCACCGGCACACCCGGCCGGCCTTGAAAGGGCTGACATTGATTGTCAGGATAGATGGGCTGCTGCCAGGTTTGTTTACCCCCCCTTATCAATTTCGCAACGAATTCTTGATTTGGAAAGGAAACAAATGGCGTCTTCTGAATAGCGAGGAGAGAGGCCTTTTGATGGGTTATGGTTTTGGACATTGTGACCTAGCCTGGGCAGCGAGTAAGATTAAGGAGGATCAAGAAGGTTTTGAATGGGAAAAGTGTTCCTTGATCGGTGACGCGTTCAGCGTCTTCTCATTTGTCATTATCGGTGTTGCCCTATGCAAACAATTCGTTCCACGGCTTCATTATCATCATTTAGTAGCCCGGATGGGCCTTGCACCAGGTTTTCGCGCTCCCTTTCGATTTCAAGCCCCACTCAGTCGAAAGCTTCAATACGGTTGCCAGTTGCTTGTTGAGAACCAACCAGGACTGACGGTTGCGGAGTTGAATCGATTTTTCCTGGGTCGTGCTAACTTCACTGGCAGCGATGTTAGGGTGATTAGTGGGGACGTTCTTAACCCACGATGTTTCCCCCCGGCAGCCGGTCTGTTCGTCATGGTGGATCTGGCAACACTGCTTTAAGGTCAGATGGAGTGAAAAGCAACACATTAACATTTTGGAGCTCAAGGCCATCCTTCTTAGTATTCAGAGAGGCATCGAACGTCAAAAAATGGCACAATTGCAGGGTGTTCCACGCCACAGACTCCTATGTTTGCATGAGCGTGATAAGTAAGGGGAGGACGTCCAGTCTCATGTTGAACCGTCTTCTCAAGAAACTTAATGCGCTTTTGTTGCTGCATGGCATTCAACTGCTAGTGACTCATGTAGAAAGTGCAGAAAACCCAACAGATGAGGCCAGCCGCGCATGGTGAGGATTCCAGCCAAGGTCATCCATCGCTCCACGAGGAAGCAGAGAAAAGAGGCACGTAAAGGCTTAAACTTGGCGGAAGCTGGCATCAGTGCCAGGACCAAGAACGCTTACCTCAATGCTCTTCGCCTTCTCTTACCAGCGTTGGAGAATGTCAGCACACCTTCACAGCTTGACACTGCAGTAGCAGCTTGGATCGAAATGGCTTGGGAGGACGGAGAATCCCTATATGTTGTGTCGAATGCACTTTGTGGTTTGCATTTTTACGAACCGCTTACAAAGCATTGTATCCCTAGTGCGTGGCGATTGTTCGCCACTTGGAGAAAATTGGAATGGCCTTCACGTGCTCCCCCCCTTGACCCGTACTATTGTCATGAGCCTTGCCAACTATGCTTTGAGCCATCAAGATCTCTTCTTTGCCGCCCTCTTATGCCTGGGGTTCTTCGGATTGTTGAGAACAGGAGAGATGTTGTCATTAAGAGGCAGAGACATCTTGTGCGGGTCGAAACAGCTTGTGCTTTCTTTGAAAGGGACCAAGAGTGGTCAGAGGAATTCAGCCGACGAAACAGTCGCTATCGAAGATCCATTCACAATTCTTATCATCCAGACAGTTTTGGACATCTTGAAAGCACGCGACGCCCTCGAGCATTGCTTGTGGGAATTTTCAAACCAAAGCTTTAGGAATCACTTTGACATCTACCTGAGAAGGTTTCATCTTGATCATCTTCGTTTCCGTCCGTATTCTCCTAGGAGGGGTGGGGCGACCCACCTCTTCCAGGTGACAGGAAGCATGGAATTAGCTTTGGTTAAGGGCCGCTGGTCCTCAAATAAAGTTGCAAGGATTTACATTGCTGACGGCTTGAGCAAACTTCCGGAACTACTTTTGGACGTTGCTACAAAGAAACTTCTCTCATCTTGGTTGCCCCGCTGCGTTGCAACGGAAAAGGTAGTCGTGGAGAAGAAAGCGCCTGAGTCGCGCCGATGATTAAATTCATCGTTGAAATCGCCTGCATGGGCGAAAGAAGTTGAAATCGCCTGCATGGGCGAAAGAAGTTGAAAACGCCTGCATGGGCGAAAGAGACAAAGGTTTGAACGCCTGTAAAGGCAAATACAGTGTTTCACAAAAGTGAAGCCCTGAAGGCTTCTAACGTTGGTCTTGAACGCCAACACAAGTTGCGGCTACAAAAAGGCGCTGAAGCCTATCATATATGTTGGTGACATAGACCTTGCTTGTGAGAACCACAAATTCTTTTCTTTGTGTGTTTTTGCAATGAAAACTCACCGCTTTTGCATGTCACCTCCCGACCTCCCAACAAATGAAACGGCTGAATGGGACCGGCGACACCGCTGAGGCCCGTGCCCCGCTGCCGCACGCGGTGCCCCGCGCATGGACGGCGTGCGTGAGGCGGCTGGACGACGTGCGGCCGTGGGGGAAGCCGAGGGATGGGAAGGAGTGGAAGGAGGAAACGAGGAAACTGGACACGAGGTCCTTCCATTTTCAGGTCCTGTGCCGGATTCTGTCTCTAGTGGCTGGGATGTATGATGTATCCGACTGGGAAAAACGGGTGGCGGTTTGAGCAGGTCTCCAGTGCTGCAGGTTCTTTCTTCCGCCGCGTTGGAGAACCACGGGGACCACTGGATCGAAGGCCGCTGAGATCGATCGAGTAGGTAGGTGCAGAGTTGCGTCGAAGGTGTGTTAAGGGAGGGTCAAAATCTATCAGCAACACCATCCAGGTTGACCTCCCAGCTTTTTTGCAGTCAGTTGGTTTCAAAAAAAGGGTTGACCAACCCACAGCCACTTCAACAAGCCAGGGATTTCGAGATAAGAACCGTGGGATCGGTGACAGATCAACGCAAAGCAGAGGGAAACCCTGCTGTTTGGTTGATGGTCTTTGGGGCAGATGTTTACAGTCTGAACAATCTTTGGCATATGTATTTCAACAAAAAATGCCAAAGAGGGTTCTTGGAAAATCAGCCGGTCTTGAGAAGTCTAAGACGACCTTGTGACATCTGGTGACATCTGGCGCCCCACTGAGGCATGAGCATGAGGCCTGCTTGTGCATCCAGCGCCACTGGCGGAAGCTTCAGGAGCAGATGCGAAGAGCATGAAGCGAAGATAGATCGAGTTCATATGGGTGGTTGATATGGGCTCCATCTTTTACCAACGCAATATATATATTATATATATCTATACTTATATATTAATATATATATATATACATATACAGAATCCGTGAAAGAACCTCATGTTCTTTTTTCCATCTGTGGCATGTCCCCGAAGACTCGGACAATCCGTGCGTCCTCCGAAGATGTCAGGACCCTGCGTTCTCCACGACACGTGTCGTGTGAAGTCCCTTGAATCATCAGACTTTCTCGATGGGTTACCCAACCAGCCAATGGCTGCCAACTGCCTTTGGTGTCTTTGTTTCCATGGAAACATCACTTTTTGGTTGCAGCAATTCCTGTATATTTGTGAAAGAAGGATGATCCTCGAAAACAACTATCAGTTCGTGCACCTTGGCCGCTGGTGGGATTAGGGACAATTCTGCAGTCAAAACAGCAAAGCAGCTGAACGCCGTGACCTCAAGAATTGTTCCAGGGTCTGACTGGGATGTGAGCCATGTGAGTCATTCGAGCACGGCTTTGAAGGTTGTTGGTCATATACCAAGGCAACATAAAGCACATCCAAAGCCCTCAACGATTGGATCCATTGCCATCCATTTCATCGGATCACTCCAAAGATCCGTGTCCGGCACTAACGGAGTGGCCCCTCGATCAGGAGTCCCGACGGCTGCTTGTCACGGATATACGAAACGGCGCCTGCTCCTTTTTTTTTTGCTTTTCTCCAACCTGCTGCTCCGCTGCTAGAGGCCGTGGCAGGACACAGGGATCGCATTCTTTTGGTTCTATTTGTGTGCTATCTTTTTTCTCAGATGATGAGTGCTTTTGATTCCTTCGGTGCAAATCCCACGAGCTTCACCAGATTCATGGCACGGCAGCCAAGAAATACCGACTTCTTCATGGGAGACCAAGCTTCACCTGGCTTCCGAGAGGTCGTCTTCGGTGCCCAGAAACTCGGGCCTTGCGCATGGGTACAGAAAAAGACCCAAAGCACGGACTTCCCACTTTTTTTTGGGGGGGGATTTTATGTCGACCTGTCACAGGCTGGCTAGCGGCTAGACTGGACAAGTGCCAGACCAGACGCCACGTTCTAGCGAGAGGAAAACCGGCCAGAGGGAGGGTTTTCTCTTTTGGGTCCCTTCCACAGCAACGAGAAGTCGGAGTCCAAACCATTGAGGGAACGGATGAACGAGGACCAGGAACTCCAACGCCCACCTCCACCTTCTCCACCTTTCTCCTCCCCCTTCCTCCGCCTTCCGGACCTCGGAGATCGGATCCGACCTGGTCTCGCTGGGTCTCGCGGCTCCGTCGCCTGGTCCAGGTTCCGTCGGTCCTAGCTGCTGGGCCGAGCTGGACGTGGTCCGCGGCGCAGCGCGTCGGCTTCATCTCGCACCCGCTCCTTGGGCGGCTCACAGGTGGGAGGACCCAGGGGTGGAGCCGCTTGGTGGCGGGGGAGCCAGGGCAAGGACTGCGGGAGAGGTCGGAGTTGGGGATGTTGGGGTCCTTTTGGGGCGTCTTTTATCTATATCCTATGCGCTGCACTAGCAAGAAACCTTTTACACTTTTGGCAAAGGTTCCTATTAACTTTTGCAGGATCAACCCCATTTTCGTGTCATTACTTCGGGAAGACATTGTTTTACTTCACTTTGGTATGACAATCATGATAATTATGATACTATTCATCGTTGGACGGGAATGGGAGATGGTACTGTTTTGATCTTGAGAAGGGGGGGCACAATGTTTTATGTATGTGCAATCTTTGATACATTTTTTCTTTGCTTTGGGCTCTCGATAGAGACATGCTTGGGCCTGAAAAAGGGATGCTCAGGCCAGAGATCTTTTTTATGTATTTTTTTCAACAATCCTGGAAACAGCACACTATTTAGACACAACACAATATTGTTCTGTTCGAGGTGACGTTCCACGTGGAGTTGGATGCCAAGGGCAGGCCACGGGTGCGGCGGCCGTCGCGCAGCTTCTCGAAGGCTGATGGAGTGGCGCTGGCAGGCTGGGAGCGGCTGGGCCGTGACCGGGGGCGACCGGGTCTTCGAAGCTCTGCAAGTGGAGAAAAAGGCTCTCTGGTGGCCTCCTATCAAGTCCTTATAGCTTGTGAGAGACAAATCGCATGCTACAAAAATTTGGCATTGCTGTTCAACAGGCAGATTTTTGTTTTCGGACCCTTCTTCCTGAGTAGGTCTTTGACTCTTTGTTGATATTTGTTTCTTCCTTTGGACTTCAAATGGCGGTGTTGGACCCTTCTGCACAGCCTCGTGCCCAAGGCCTTGAGTCCGTGCACACGGGCGTGGTCTGTGCTGTGGACCGGCCTAACCGGCGGGGCTTCATCCGAGTGGAGGAGCTGCACGAGCTGCTGGGGAAGGATGTGCTCTTCCGCCTGGCTCAACTGCCAGGTGCTGAGGCAGGGTCTGATGAAGAGAGATTAGGATGAGAGTAGAAACCACGCGAGGTGTATATTGATTTCACGATCAATCCCCAGTGTGACTGGGTTCTCGGGATGTTTGCTCTTTATGACTTGCTAGGCTCCATGGCCGGTTCTAGCAGACCGAAGAGCCAATCGATATGAGCCAATGATTCCGTACGTTCTGATGTCAACCGAAGGGTAGAAGAAGCGAACCCCCCAAAAGTCGTAGGCTTTTGTCGCTCGGGGACCATGAGACGGACTTCCGGAATAGGTGCTCTTCGGTGTCTATGTGGGCGATCTGCTCAGAGTTTGACAAGACAGGTATAAAGTTTCTGGCTGGCGAGTTTTTCTAGAAAGCCAGAAACTCTAAGGCGCCTGGGCTGAAACCGGCCTCCTTTTCGACTTCTTCGCTTCGAAGCGGGCTCACCGTGGTGTGCCCTGAGGTGGGGCAGCGTATCAGCTTCCGAGTGGAGCTGGAGGAGGGCCGGCCTAAGGTGAAGGAGGTCCTTTCAGGCGGACAACTCTGATTCGACGGATTTTCGTGGGGCGAGAGGGTGTTCAGCAGCACGTTGGGAGAGCCACATGGCTTTTTGAGAAATCACGCATCCAGAGCCTTGAGGCGATGGACCTCCGGTCTCGGGACCTCCAGTCTCATCCAAAAAGGCCGGTTGTTGGAGCTGGGTTTTTCTCGATCAGTGAGGTTGGATGCTCACCAAAGAGTCGTAGTAATTTGGCGGGTCCGGGTGAAAGGAATGAAGATGTATCCAGAAGCTTTCTGTTGTGAAAACGTCCTTGGAGAGTTCCAAGAGAGCTATGGGCAGGGGATATATACATTTATACAAATATGTATATTTTTGTATGGTGAATATCCAGATCGATGCTCAGCTACACCCACTTAAACATAAAACCACTGAGAGTGCTAGCCATGCTCGGACACTGTGTTATGGACTCTTTGCATTTCTGTCCGGGTTTTACAGCAAACCTGATTGTCAGACTGGTGCTTTCAGCACCAGTTATCAAAGCCCTTGTGCATCAAACATCTTTGTCCGTCTTTGGGCTTGTTGGACGAGCAAAAGCCGGTGGTTGATTGGCAAGAAAACGGCACATCAAGAGAATTCATGGTCTGGGCGAATCTTCTGACAAATCGTCGCTTCGCCACGTTCATCGCTTCCGAACTCCTTCCCCCAAAGTCTTCAACAACAGGGGGAGCCCTTCGAGAAGAGCGAGGCTGCTTGAGGGCTGTGTTTGGGAATGGGATCTGGCCTTGTTGTCCGGAAGATGTTTGTATAAGCTTTGTTTGTGGTTCCAGCGACGCTCCAAGCACTGGTCACCAGCAACACTGAAACGAAAAGGCGGGTTTGGTTCTACGGATGTAGAGCCGAGAAGGTCTCATCTTGGTCTCTCGGGTTTCTTCGTTGAAGTTCGAGCTCTAGACCAGTCTCTTTGGCCCTCGGGTTGCGTCAGGTGTGCCTGGTGAAGTTGGAGGGGAACTTTGGGCCCTCAGGGCTATGCTTTGGCCTTAGCCGTGCCAAGCTCCCTGAGGTGCGGATCCACCTCTGGGGAGGTAGGGCAGGAGAGCTGGGGTGGTTGCGCCACCCCAGCTGCAGAACTTCGAGGGTTTAGAGTGAGAACATCCACAATCGACCCATGTGGCAGTGGGTTCGGTCTTCCACTTAAAACCATGATGACCAGGAGTTCCTTTGATTGGTTCTTTATATACCCTCAGGTCGAAAACATGAAGTGAAACTCCCCAAATGTTGGATGATTTCACTGTTTCACACCGCGAAGACCAGATTTTGAGCAGCCAAATGTGGGAAAGCAATGGAAAGCACGATGTATTTTTGAAAACAGAAAAATCTCAGACTCTCCCAACACTGTTGCATGCCTTGGGGCATGGGAACCTCTCGCAGGTACACTCACATGCAAACTAGTACGAAGAGCATCAGTCCTTGGTGTAGTCTTGAACAGGTTGCAGATAACACCAGTCCTCGAATGCGGAAGGAAGCGGTCGCCCACTGCTGCGCAGGTGCAGTTCATTCGACCGGAGCAGAGCCAATTCTGGCGCAGGAATGAGGTCCACGTGGGGGATCGCTTGATGTGGCTTGGCAGGTCCAAGCACTTTCCCGATGGGAAGTCATGTTTTTTCTGGCAGGTCCCGAGTCTTATTTTGATGGTCTGTGCGAGAGTTTCTTTTTGTTCCGCGAGACCCAAACACTTTGTGCCGAGCATAATCCTTTTTCTACAACGGAGGCTTGGGATGCCTTCACAATCGGTTGATCTTCATGGTCGTAGCAAGGTTGTTTGGAGACAAGCATCTAACCGTATGTGATCGATCCTTTGGGCCAGTCTTACTCAAGACGCACCAGGAAGCCTCCAGCTGTAGGTTATGGTCATACCTCACGTAGTTACTGTACCTCTTTCCGGGTTGGGTACCCTCGGCACGTCCCCGAGGCGAATTGAGGGTGCCCACTACACCTTCGTCTTGGGAAGTGAGCCCGAACGGCGTCCCAGCGAGCTGTCGGAGGCCGACCTCGGCGCCGAATTTTGCGAGTGTTTGGGGCTCGTGGGTGGGCGCGAGAAGCTTTGGGCAGGTGGAGCAAGTTTGCAGGATACAGATGAAAGACCTGTAAATGGGAGAAGAAGGTCGAAATGTGATTCTTTCCGTTCGTCTTTTCTGTGTCGCATTTCTTTCTGTCTGTCGCTTCCTCAGGGTCTCCGCCAGCGGCCCGTGGAGCTCTCCTTCCTTCGCGTCACGTGAGACGATCGTGAGACGGGGAGGATCGTCCGACACGGAGGGGGGAGGCTGGAGGTCTTGATCCGCAGGGCGAGCTCCAGTCGTGGTTCAGAAACGAAGGTATGTCTGGACGTCTGCTGGCATTCCCACCCACCCCAGTCCCACGGAACGCTCATGTGATCTTGGTTGGTACTGGGATGGACTGATCTGCTTGGAGGCCTTGATATGTCTACTTTTAGATCGGTGAACGGACTGGGGATGGTGACATGCCCGGAGCGGTCACCTTAGGAAGGTCCGGACGGGTGCCATGACCCACAGCCATCTCTTGCAGGTCTTGTTCTGACTTTTGGACTGATGGCCATGTCATCATCCAGAAGCATCCAGAACACTTTTGGGGTGGGAGGGATCTTGGATTATAGGCAGCCTCCAGTGGCTCCAGTGGCTCTCCCGCCCAGAGGATGCTGTGGCCGGAGAATGGACACCAAGAAGGCGTCCTGAGGCACCCGCGCGTGGGTTTGGCTGACATCTTGAGATTTTTTGGAATGCAAGGGATCTGGGAATCACCTTGAGGGCCGCTTCAGAACTGGTTTCTGCCCCTTATGACCTTGTTCCTTTTGGTCCTCCCATCCTGCCGCTCTTCTTTTCCTCTCACAGGTTGAATTTTTCACCAGCTGATGTATTTGGTGAGGCTTTCCGCCCTGGCGTCAGCGGCTCGAGACCCCTTTGAAACTCCACAGAAAGGGGTCGGTCAGAGCCATTTTTTAATCATCTGATCCCTTTGTTGAGTTATGTGGACCAAGATTATGTGTGTCAAAACATGTCAAAACATGAACTCCCAGATCTGTGTAGTTCAGCTTGATTTATTCTCATTCTGGTGAACCAGTCCTGTCAACCGTGGTGCCGTAGTCCGCACCCATATTGCTTTGCCAGACGTTGCTCAGACAAGCAAGATGCTGCCTTTTACGAGCGCAGTGTTTATGACCTGGTTGTTCATTGCAAATGCTGAGCAGTGTGAAGAGTGTGGAGCGATGTCTTTCCTTCAGATGGCACTTGGCAAGGAGAAGCAGAAGATCAAGCGAATGCACCGAGTAGAAGGAGCAAGCTATGATCTTCCGTGCCCTTCTCCTGCAGAGATGCAGAGTCCGTTTGCAGAGCAAGTTGCTGCAATGATGAGCGGATCGAATCACTCGGCAGCCCGGCTTACATCTTTAGAAGGCTGCGCCATGCTATTTGCATGCGTGGACAGCGGCAGCAAAACGGAGCAGGATTCATGGGCCAACGCCAAGGCCGTTGATGCTGGGATAGAGAATATCAGAACCTTTTCCAAAATTCCTGGTCTTTTGTGCTTTCTGTCCGCATGGATTCTTTAACATTTGGTGGTTCTATCGTTGAAGTGTTCATGAGCACTGCATGGCGATGAGTCAAGAGAACTCTGGAACGAGAAAAAAACGGATCATCTCTTAAGTCCACTACCTTGAATACAGAAAAAACGTGTAAAGCTGACGCCGTCCACGTTTCTGCAAACGACGACACCAAGCTGATCAGATGACCAGATGTGCACATCGAAGCTCTGCGGACGTCGTCTCCCCACATTGTCTTCCAGTGAGTGATCGCAACCTGGGACAGGTGGGAACTCTAAACCTGCACCGACTCCCTTGATACACCACCGACTCCCTTTGGCGTCCGGTAGGTCCCAGATAGGTGTAATTGAGCCTCACGCCCCTGCTGCAGAAGTATGACGCAATTGAACTCCTCGTAAACAACGCCTGCATGTACTAAAGCGTTACACGCACATACAAGCATTCTTCAAGAGGTCTTGGAGTTAAAATTTGTCAATCCACAGGCGGTTTAGAACACATTCTAAACAGCTCCTGTGGTGTTTCAGGAAACCAGTCTGCTGGACTTTCCTTTCGATCATCCAAACTCAGTATCCTTACCTTAATTGGAAGGTTACGACTTAAGATGGTTGAAACGGAGCCCACACACAACAAAGTACATGATCTGTTTCTGGGAAATTTGACCAAGTAGACCCTAACATGGGATCTACGCTCTGGGGTTTCCGAAAACCCTCAAGGTTTCTTTCCTGGTTTTGCCTCCAGGCCTTGAGGCTTGCAGGCAGCAATGATGGTGCGTGGCACATATGTGGTGAGTACATATAATATATAGTACACTTTTGTGGAGTGATGTCGTTTTTCTACTAGGAGCCATCGGACGCTACGAACGGGGCTCCTCCCAAAGAAACAAGGTCCGTCGCAACCAGCGTCCCAGTTTCCGTTTGAGGACCTGGCGGTCTACAGCCTCCGAACCTGGCCCCATGATGAGGCCATCCAGGCCGAACCGATCCGGACGGGGTCGGATGGGGTGCGAGGCGGCCAGTAGCATGAGCGCCCAGGGCCGAACGTTCGGCCCTTCTGGTCTTCCAAAAAGAATCCTTGACCCCCAAAGCTCACCCAATTCTGCTTGTCTTCCAACAAATCCATTTGGGGGGGGTCAAAGATTCTCGAATCTTGGGGGTCCTTTGATGTGGGGCTCTTCTCATCCCTCACTTGGATCCAGCTTTGTGAAGCGGCCAGACAGCCCATCCCTGCTCTGTCCAGCACTGGTCCGGACCTGGGCGTCGCTGGCGCCAGGTGACGTGTGCCAGCGCCGTGGGCCCGGTGATCTTGTTCCACCGTCCCAATGGGCTGCGAGCTGGGCAGCTGGGGGGGGCTCAATGCCACCTTCGCCACTCGGCACGGAGAGGTCGGTCGACGGGCACCAACGGGCATGGGCACCAGAGATGGGTGAGATCCAACAGGGGGCCAGCATGTTCAAGAGACCCATCCAGGCCCATACCAAGAAAACAGAATTATATATGGCTCTTGAGATCATCACACACACCATGGACTGGAAATCGGAGGGAGTAGATGTATATATTATAAAGGTAAACAGAAATAAACAGAAGGTTTGGGACTGCTGGGAATCGCACCGGACATGCACATGGCTTTGAGATGCATGTTCATCATCCATTTTGACTCACCTGTAGAACTCTTTAATGAAAGCAAGAACTCCTCCCTTAGTGGTATATTGGACGGAGATGAAAGGCTTTGTTTACCATTCTCACTTACAATTCGCTTTGCTTCTGCCTTTAATTTGTGGATTTATACAAGGCTTGGTTCTATTTTTTCTTTTAACATTTGCAAGGCAGATCAGTTTTTGTCTTGAGAGCAATATCCGACATGTTCACAGTGTTCACATAGCATGTTCACGTTTGAAACTACCGTCAAATCTTCCGGGTGAACATACTTCTTTCTTGGAGGGCTGCTTTCCCTTGCAAACGCACACTACAGATTTTGGTGCTTGTCCGGCAGGATTGTCAAGGCTTCCAAGGATTTCCATGAAAAAACTGCCTATCTGGGTGAGGCCTATTATGGATCCCACATGGACAACGAACTGGTCACTGGCCTGGGAGGCGCTATCGGCTCTTACTTCGACAAGAGCAACGAGAACCGGCAGATTGCAAGGGAACTGGGGGGGGATTGAGCTGCTGATCCAGAACATCCGCAACAATTTCCATGGACAGCAGCTCGTTTTCAGGGTGTTGGGTGCATGGGGTCGCCCAAATTCGCCATGCGCCGGAGGCTCTGATTTTTTGGGTGGCCAGGTACCGTGACTTGTTCCCCATGTTCCACGTTCCACCGGCTGTGACACGAAGGACGGCGGCTCTTCTCGAACGGGCCGTCCGTCCGAGCGTCGCCCTCCGTTCGGCGCAAACTTCGCTCGGAGGGTCCACAGGCGGGGGTGGTGGAGAAGAGAAGGGAATAGGATGGGTGTCAGTTTGAGCTTCTAGGTTGTTTGATCCGACGCATCCAGGGTGTACCGGCAGAGCAGGGCTCAGCCCGGTGTCGGTGACGATCTTCGGCCTTGGAGGGCCGATCCCTTTGCGGTGTGGCGGCGAAGTCCGCGGCGCCAGGTACAGCGACTGGGCGTATGAGCCGGTGAAGCAGTCGCTCTTCGGCTTATCCTCGGGAACGTGGACGAATCAAGACGTTGCCGCGCGGATGCAGATCGTCCCCTTGCATGTTCAGCTGATGAAGGACCGTGTTGATGGTGAGAGATGAGGTGTTTTTGCCCTAATCTTTTTTGGGGGTGCGGTGAGAGGAGGAAGAGTGGGAGGAAGTGAAAGGAATAGTAGCCAAAGGCTTGGCGGACTATTCTCTTTGTTTCTATCTTTCTGGAGAGGTAGTAGATATCTAATCAATCTAATCTTCCCCATTTCATGGGCCTTGCCGACCCCCTGGTCGATCTCAGTCTGGGCGCCATCGCTCTTCTGGAGTCTTGGCCCCCCTCATAGGCAGCTTGGGGGACTGGGAGACCGGCAACACTTGTGAAACGTGTGTTGAGCGGTATTGTGGTGTTGTGGCAATCTATTGTGCAGCATCAAAGCTTGGGGCTGCAGTCTTTTGAGACATCGTTTTGGAGCTGCATCCATGTTTGCCTCACTGAATTCAACGGGCTTTCACAATTAACATCATCCTGTCTCACAAAGAAACTCGGGCCCTCAAAGCATTTGGGCTGTGCTCTCATGCGTGGGCCAAGCTCAGTGCACCTGTCGACCTTTTGGCCCGCCTCAATTTCTCAGCACATCCTGTGAGGGTCTGAACAGCCACTTCACCGTCCCCACTTCACCACCCCCATGTTCAGCTCCGCCTTCAAGCCTTCAACCCCAAAAAGCGGTTGCCGCAACACCAACGGCAACGCCAAACCCAACGCCAGCGCCAGCGAATGAGCGACGGCCTCGCCGCCCGGACCGTTGGACCAGGAGCACGGGAACGAGACGAAGATCGGGGAGGAGACCCTGCAGGCCGGGAGATGGGTGGAAGGGGGGCGGTTTCGCTGGGTTTTTGAGATCGGTTGTTTGGACAACCCTGTTGGAAGCTGTGCAGATTTTGTTGTTTGGTCCGAAAATGGATCAAAGATGGGGTTTGGAATCCCATCTTCCTCTGCAAGAGTACAGGCCATGGTGCTTTCGTCCGACATGCTTTCATCGATGGTCAACTCAGACAACGCAGGCTGTCAAGGCGATGCTCTATGGGCGGGACTCCTTCCGGTGGAACTACACCAACGCAGGCACTGCGAAAAAACCGTTGTTGACGGCTGTACAAGGGTTCCTCCATCCCATCCAGTGGTGGAGCTACATGGGGTTGTGCTCGGGGCGACTGGGAGAAACGACATCCAAAACGACATTCAAAACGACTCAATTACGTGTGACTCATAGGGCGTGCGACTTTTGGTTCTTTTCGGCTGCTTGCTTGGGAGCTGCAAAAGCGGTTTGTGTTTGTTCTCCCATGATCGATAAATATAGACATATACATGTATAATGTATACAATTATGTGTATATTTATACTGCTGCGTGGAACCACGGTACGTAGTACTAGGTAGTTGCGTGTGTATTTGCAATTCAATAATAATTCAATATGTTCATTCTCTTCATGACCACTCATGACAAATGCGAATGAATTCATGCCACATGTGGATTGGTTTCACCGAAACCACACACATGACACATGACACATGACACATGACACAAACGCGCGGTCTTTGCAGTATCTCTTTCCCCAAAGGGCCCTCCCCACAGGCATCTTTGAGGCCTTGGTGGGTGTCCTGCGGGGCAATCCCACTGATCGTGGTGCCATCAGCCTCAGCTGCGAGAGCATCGTCTGCTTGGTGGGCGTCACCTTCATGTTTGGGCCCACACTTCGTTTGCCGCGTCTCTTGGCCTTTGACCCGGCGATCCAGGCGAAAGCCACTGAGGCTGGAATACTTGAGGCCTGGGTGGGCTGGTGGAGGAACAGACTGAGCGCGGAACCTTGGGGGTTCATATTGGTTTCATTTTCCCTTCTCGATTCTAGATTCCTTCCTGTGAGTATCTGGGGAGCTTGTAGGAATGACTACCTGTAGTTCTCTCAGCAGTGGCGTTTCTTCGATTCACTTCCAACACCCCGTGGCATAGAAAACTGTGGAGGCTCTGATCGAGACAGCCACTTCGAACCGCGAGCTGGAGCACTTTGAGCATAACTTCAACTTTGATGTTGATTCCTCGTATAATGCAAAGGCCACCTGCTATCAAGCCTTGCATGTCATGGCCAAAGACAACATGGAGAATCGTGCTGGAATCCTGGAAGCCAAAGTTCCGGAGAGGATCGAAGAGAACTGGGCCGAGCTCGATCATCAAGGCCAAGTTGAGGCCTGTGGACTCTTCTCAGAGCTTGGTCTTCAGAAGTCGAAATGCCCCTGATGGCCGAAAATGCTTGGGCTTTGAGGATCTTTTAGGACATCTTCATAGAACTCAGGCATGCAGGACAGTGTGGCCCCAAAAGTGGCGCTGCTTCTCTGAAGGGTCTTGTTGCAAGTTGATCTCCTGGTGGTTTTGGTGTTTGGGGGGGCCACTCTGCAGGATTTTGACTCAAAGGCTTTCAGCTCTGCTTCAAAAGTTTGGGCCTGGGCTGGCCTCCGGAAGTGGTTTTGTTTTTGGCTCCTGGAAACAGACCCAATCTACAAAGCAACGCATCCAGGAGTATGTTTCTACACGATCTTGAGATGGCTTGCCACCACTGGCAGATTTCCAGACCTTCTGAACATTTCCTGTTGGAGTCCCATTTCAGACAGATTCTTCCATGTGAAACACAGACTCGTGTTTCAGACAAGGGCAGGCGTCCGGCGTCCGAACCGTGCGACCCTTTTGTTGTTTTTTCATTTTCGGGGCCTGACTGACTAGTGTCCACTTTTCTGGGCTTCTTGAAGTTGTTCTATTTCGTGACTATGCTGACACTATTCCCAGTTTTCCATGTAGGATCAACTGGAGCAGGTCCTTCGCCTACCATGTTTGGAAAAAGATGGAAGCTAAACGAATGGATTCTTAGTTCTTCCAGATGAGGGCATTTGTGGTTCTGGAGTTCTGAAGTGCAATCTGGCATTGGGATGCACGTCCAAGACTTAGGCGCCCAGTAAGACTCAGTAAGGGACCCTTGAGGACCAGCTATTCCTGGACCCTTTGTTGGATAAAGTTTATGCCCAACACCACCTGGTGGGTCAAATCCTTCTCCGAAGTGTGATTACCCCCAAACACATCAATTACATGGACCTTTTTCAGCGTTGTGCTTCACTTGCCGTCCGCGTGACGCGCCGGGTCTGCAGGCGTACTATGAGTGACACTGCAGACTCAGAGTAAGTCTGTCAGTTGGGATGAGCTGAGCCAGGACCTGCAGACCTGCTGCCTGTTTTTTTTTTTTTTTTTTTTTTTAATTTTTTTTTTCCGGGATTTTCGGAGTTGGTTCATTTTTCTGAGTTTTTGGTTACCTTTCGGCAAGCGCAAATGGACAAACATGCATTTTTTGGGTTCATTTTGCCTCTTGGCATTCTGGATTGTCAAGTGCAACGTTGCCTTGACCATGCCTTGAAAAAATGCCTAATGAAAGCCAATGAAATCGGGTGATCTGGTTGGATCGGGTGATGTTCGGCTCCAGATGCTTGGAACATGTGGGCCACAGCGGACCCTGTGTCCGACGTGGGACCATTGGTCATGGCCATGCTGCACGACCAGCGATGGTCGCGCTGCTTGTTGTTCTCTGCTGGTCGCGCTGAGAGACGGACTTGTGGCGCCTGGAAGTCACAGGCTTGTGGCCGGGTCTTGGGGTGTTTCCCTTCGTTGCTCCCCCCTTTGGGTCTCTTTGTTTCCATTCGTTTGTCTCTCCGGTTGGGTACTGTACTTGTGGTCCAATCTCCAGCTGCTTCCTCTCATTTGTCTCCCTTTGCATTCCAGCTTGAGGTGCTTCTACTTGGGTCTTTGGCTGCTTAGCTTGGCTTTAACGAAGTGGCCTTCTGTATCAACCTGGGCATCTCATACATTCTCATACAGGTGTCCCACCTGCAACTGAAGACAGGTGTTCAGGCTCCCGAAATCCCAAACACTTGCCTCCCATCTGCATGTGGCGCATCTTGTCTCTAACCTTTCTCCTCTGCATGTGGCGATCTCCAAGACCCTTTTTGGAATCGAACCACGGATCTTGCACGAGTTGTGCCGAAGGTCGCCAGCTGCCAGCGAGCGACCAGGCGTCTCGCCATACTACCGAAGTTGATCGCCGGCTTGTTGACCCACGGGGTGGACTTGCACGACTTTTGTCCAAGACTTGTCTCCTTTTGCATGACCTGCTTGTTTTCCATGCCAGCAAAGCTGCCGACAGCAACGTCGGCAGCTGGGTTTGCCGCCAGCCACGCAACGTTGTGTTGACTGAAATCTTCGATGAAGCTTTGGAGCTTCAGAACAGTGGGGGCTTACTTTCGGGCTGCACCAGATGCAGATTTCAGTGGCAAACAGTGACGTTTTTTGAGGTGGAAGTACTCTATTGACTTCATTTATATATGCAGCCAAGAAATGGTAAATGACCATGATTCTTATGACCAAAAGTGCAGAGTCTTGTGTGCAAGCAGTTTGAACTGATGTTTTTGTTGCAGCAGGACAACACAGGATATGTCAGGATAGTCCAGGACCAGTAAGGGAAAGACAGGCCAAAGTCCGGATTCCATAGGATAGTCTAGGATGAGTCAGGCACTATTTGAGAGTACGCTGTACATAGGAAAAGCTAGGAACATCTAGCAACATTCCAATCTTTCCCAAAAAACATTTGCTGGTTCAACAAGGTCCTGTTTTCTTGTCGACATATTGGACCATGAAGAAGTAGTGTATCACTTCGGCTGAGATCTTCCAACCCCAAACAAATAGGACAACTCCTCAGCCGATCGGCCTGCCGATGCCTCTGTCCAACCGGGTCTTTTCCTCCGCAACGTCCGGATCCAGTGGATCCATCAGATCCGGCATCTGCTTGGGCGGGTGATCTGAGTCGTCGAGTCGACGAGTCGATCAACTGCTCGACTCCCAGTCGACTCAGATCCACCAATTGAGATTGGCCATGCCATGTCAATTCTTGTGCACATTTTCACGACTGAAAATTCCTCAAATCAGGAAATTCCTCAAACTATGTTGATACCCTCTTAGAATTAGTTTTCATCAAGTTGGTGGCTAAAGAATTTATATACGGAAGGAGCATGGCTTGAAATCCCTCGACTGTTGGGCTTGCGCTTCACGTTCTCAAAACCCTGTCCTTAGCTCCAGGCCCGAGTGATCCGCCTTTTCAAAAGGTTTTCTCAGAAGAGAAGGCGGATCGTCCGTCCGGTGAACAAATCCGTTTGAATATAGACAAGATCGCCAGAATCTGAGAGTCTACTGTATTTTAGATTGAAGTTGATCTGAAACTCCATCGGATTCTGTATTATGCAGACTAGATTGAAGTTGATTGAAGTTGATTGAGTCTACTGTATTTTAGATGTCTCGGTTCTCAGATTCTCGGATGGATTGCAGACATCGTCTCACCGGTTTGGACTGAACAAGCTGCAGCGGTCGCGGTCTCTCCAGGCGCGCTGGCTGCGCGGTCTCCCCTCGGGACCGGGGAGACGAACTGTGGTCAGGTGCTGTGGTTTTCGGTTGGATGTCAGAGTTACCACAGAGCCGATTCAGAGCAAAGACACAGAGCAAAGACAAGACAGGACAGGATAGGACAGGGAGAGAGAGAGAGAGAGGGAGGGACATATGCTGGAAAACATTGAAGGCTCGTTGATCCCTTTGATCGATCGCTCGATCCCCTAGTGAAGACTCGAACGACGAGTTTCTTCTTGAAGAGATCCCCTTGTAACCTTGTACCCATAGGGAGACACTTCACGACTCATTTGCCACAAAGTCAAGCAGCTCAAGGGCCTCCAATCGCGAGAGAGCGATCTGTGTTTTTTCGTCTTTCGCATGGCACAGCACCTGCCGAATGCAGCGAGAACGACGTGGTTCGAGATGACGTTCAACGATGAGGCCTTGGACGAAGAGAGTCCTGCAGGTCCCCCCGTCGACCCAAATCACGCAGGCCAAGGGGGGAAAGAAGAGCCATGCTTGGACTTCGCCAGAGATCCGGGGACGAGCCCGCACTCCAACCGGACCTGTGATCCGTGTGTATTTGTCGCTTCTGCCCATGGATGTTCCAAAGGCTTGGCGTGTGAATTCTGTCACCTCGACCATCCAGCGATCAACTCTGCCCACTTCTCTCGCCCGCACAAGCAGCGGCGCATGAGGATGAGGCAGGTGATTCTGCAGCACCTCCAAGGAAATGACCCAGATGAAATGCAGCAGGCCCTGCAACGAGAAGCTCGCCGTAATGCGTACATGCGGAAGCTCATCCCGTCCTACATTGCTTTCCACTTCGGTGAACCTACTCCTACTGTGAATGAGCTGGATGATACCTGATTAGCCAGGACTTGTAGAAGGCAAAGTGTTTGTCAAGCGGCAGTTTTCCCGTCTGCATTGACAGCGACAATAATTTTTGAATGGACAGCGACAATAATTTTTGAATGTGGTGCAACGCACATGATTCCGCCATGTGCAAAGACGGTACAGAAATTGCATGTGACTTCTGTATAGATACCTTGAGGTGCTTTGCTACTAACCAGCGTTGCCTCTTGGCAGTCACTTTTTAGACATCCTGCCTTGTTCTGTCAGCACGAGGGACTTCATGTCTTCAAGCAAATCTGCCAGCCAAAGCTTTCCCTACATGTAGAGTTGTTGCCTGACAGAGCTGCAGTTAACAGAGCCTTGAAGGCCATCCTTCGGGTTGAAAGTCCTGCTGGTTTCGACAGCGCTCCGGAACCAAAGGGTGGCCTGCGAAAAAGGTGCCCACCTCACTCACCAGATTTGCCAAGCGTGGCAAAGGCCTGTCTTGTTCACCACCTCATCAAAACGGGGGCTTGTCCCGTTCGCTTCAGTGCTTCGGTGCTTTCGCCACTCAGGTCGACATGAGTGGCGACCGCCACGGATCGCAAGCACCGTATCGACCGATCGTCAGGACGGAGAGACTGGTGCCAGGTCGGACGGGACAGAGCCGATGTGTCGAGGTCGCTGAGCGTTGCTTTTGAGCTGAAAGGATGTCCATGTGGGTTCTATGTTGAAAGGCAGCATGCTGTGAGTGTGGTGTCCCAAGTTGAATAGACATCAGATAGTACCCTGGTAATTCCAAGCATTTCTCCAATCCCTTGAACTATACAAAGTGTACAATTATTACATGTGTAACATTATGTAACATATTTAGCTACAAAAATAGCTACACATATATCGAGGGATCTAGAATGATGAGGAAGAAGTGAGAGCTTTGCTGATGTGGAAGGAGGCTTTCCAAGGCTTAGATACTTTCCAGGGCCGAATCTGGTGCTCCATGCAGAAAGCCACCGCAATGTGCGGATTTTGGTGCCAGGTCGCCCGTGGTGCTCACCTTCTGACGGTGTCCAGAACCTCTGCCCACCCCGCGTGTGGGGTGTCCCAGTGGCATGGCTAGACGGTGACGCGGTGATGTCGGCGTCAGCGGCATTTTCTTTTTGTTGGGAGGGGATTGGAACCGTGTGTGGATAGGGTCCAGTGAGCTTTCTGCTTCCAAGTGCCGGAGAGTGAGCTTTCCATTGTGGAAACTTTGCTGTGAAGCCTCGGTGGACTGAGCTAGTCATGCCAAGCCTTTTGGACTCCTCGGCTGATGGCGACTTCGGAAAGAAGTCCGTGACTGCGCTGCAGAAGTTTCTCAACCAGGAGGGCTTCTACTGTGGAACGGAGGATGGGGACTGGGGTGGCACGACAGAGAAGGCGCTGCAGCTCTTTTTGAAGGATGCGGGATATGATGTGGACTTCAAGAAGGGGGTGAGAGATGGTGGGAAAAACACGGAGCTCTTCCAGGAGTTTCTTCAAGATGAGGATCAAGATTGTAAGCCCGATGGTTCCTGGGGCAAGAAGTCTGCCATGGCCCTTCAGAACTTCCTCAAGAATGAGGAGGAGAAAGGCTTTGAGCCCCTCTACAAAGGTTCCTTGAATCCCCCAAAAAGTGGTCCTTTTGGCATTGGGAGGATCTATTGGATAGAGGAGTGTGTTAAAAGCCAGATCCTTCTTCAGGCAAATGAGGTACATTTCACACTGTTTAAGTGTATGCATTATTGGAGTAGATAGACATCCAGTTCAATCCTGTGGTTAGTAATGGACCACCAACCACCCAGTTCCATCCAAAACGCTTGGAACGAGGCTAGACCACCCATTCCGCCCATCTGAGGCAAGGAAGATGGTGAGATGGGCGGAATGACGATCTTGGCTCTGCAGAAATTCCTCACCCAGCGCGGGTGCAATCCTGGACCCTTGGACAGCGGCCTGGGCAAGCAGACCGTGGTCGCCCTGCAGAAGTTCTTGTCGCTGCAGCCGGATGTCTTGGAGTTGAAGGCCGTGCGCCGGAAGAAGAGACTTGGACTGAGATGTATACGCCTTGCATGGACTGAAACAGATTTTCAACGAGCAAGGTAGCCAGCAAATCCCCAGAGGATAGCTGGCATATCTTTGCTCTTCATGAATTTTACATAGATCTGTGTTCATTTATCCATCTCTTCTCTTCATCCTTAGATATGACCGTACGTTGGCCGTGGTCCCTTTTATCGTTTTGGCCAATCCAGGAAGGGCAAAGCCAAGACCGGCGACAGCAGCGCAGCCAGTGCGCCCAAGGCCAAGCCCAAAGCCAAATCGGCGCACAGCAAGGATATCATTGGCGCGGAGATGCGCAGGTTGGCCGAGGAGGCATCGATGATGGATGGATTCTGAGTGGAATCCATCTCCTTTCTGAACATCCAAGGGTGGGGAACGGGGAAATGGATGAGATAAACATCATTACACACATTATATGCTAGATAAGCTGAAGGCAGATCAAAGTTGCTTGAAGTTTCTGTGTGAAGTCTCAAGATGTTGCAATGAGAGATCTTTAAGGTTCATTCTGTTTTTTCAAGAAGCATTCATGATCCTTTGTTGGTTCAATGTGGATGTTCAGCGCGCTTTCCAAAAGGAAAGGGCACTTCAAAAAAATGCAAGAAAGTCACCGACAGACTTTCGACTCGTTGTTTCACCATTCCCAAGGAATGTAGTGAGGCAAGTCTGAAAACGAAGGCGGCAAGTCTCTCAGGCTAGATGCGAATCCTTCTCGTCAGAAGCAAAAAGAGCCACCAAACTCAGGGAAGATCAATATCTAGCAGCTAGGAGAAAAAAAACCTGTTTCGTTTGATTAATGCGTTGCATAATAAGTAGATATACATACTGTAAATGGCTCCACAAAAGGCACCTGCACGTCTTTTTATAAACATTTATGGGATACTTGCATACCCTTCTTTTTGACCTCTCTGGCCGTGCATGCTTTCTTTGCCATGCCTCCTTCCACGGCCCATCAAACCCTCGGTGCCAGGTGGTCTACCTGGATGCCCCATCAGCACTAGTGCGCTGGACATCGAAAAAGCGCGCAGCTCTGATGGTTGCTTAGCATGGCAGATTCGTCCACTGAAGAAAGGAGACATTAGATCCAATGATTCATCCACTGAAGGTTTGCCACTGGCAGATTCTTCGTCCAGGACAGATGTTGGATCTGGAAGCAGTTCCATTTGTGGGGACAAGCGGAGAGCATCTCAGAGAGCAGGTTGCCGGAACGAAGGATTTCAGCGCCAATGCCGAGGCTGATTTAAATTTGAACAACCATCGTGGTCAAGTTCCAAGTTGGGTTCAGTGGGGATTGGGACAACCTTTTCATTCACAAGTATGCAGTGTAGCAACATGGACGAACGTTGTTTAAAAACCACAGGCGATCCAAAAAAAACGCATCGTTTTCCCAGCTGTGGAACACACGGCCGTCTCTTTGACAGAGGGCCCGGGTTGAGGGAGGAGCTTGTTCTTCGAATCGATGCACAAGGGTACTGGGTGAGATCCATCTTCCAAGTCCCAATCCTTTGAGATCTGACCTGATTTGGCCAATCCTTTGTGGAACATGTTGGACCACACAGCTCTTGGTCGAACACGGAGACAGCGAGGACCGACGCTGCGACGCCCCTTTTGGCTCGACGACCGAACCCCAGAGTGAACTCTAGGCTCCCACCTGGCCAATGGGAGCGGGCCGGAACCAATGATTCGTTCGGCCCTGAAAGGCCCAGTGGGATGGGGGAATTGGACTCCAGATTGGTTTCAAGGCCTCCCCGTCCTCGACTTTCTTTTTCTATTAGTGTTGTTATTTAACGATCTTTTTAAGCCACATATGTTTTTTGTTATGATATGCAGAGAGAGAGAGAGATCAGACAATGGTTTCTACAAGCTCTTAGTTGCAGTTTTGGAGGCTTCTCGTGCTGTCTGGGTCAGGTTGAGCCGATGGTCCGGCCTTATGTTCAGTGGGATGCTATGAAGTTGCCCCGGTGCTGCAACCCAAAGCTGGTTTGAGGATCCTGCAGATGTTTTTGCTTCCATGGGATCGTCATGGTATCTTCATGTTCACATGGTTGGGATGCTATGGCACTCCCCAAAAGAGATGCCCACGGCACCGGTTTTTGCTATACTCAAAGGAGACGCCATTGGTTTGGCAACCCAAACTTCGGACCATTGGATTCATTGGATCTTGCAATTTATCCTAAGATGTGCCCATTTTGGTCTCAGAACTGCATGTTTTCTGCAAGTAAACTGCATGTTTTCCTTTGAAGTCTGCCGGATTCTGGAGAAACATCACATTGCCGTCACTACCACTGCACCGACTGGACCGCCGCACGGTGGGTCCGTTCGAGCGTTTGCAGATCCTTTCAATTTCTGGTTTCTCTGAAACTTGGACTTGATGAAGAATCGCATCTCCGAACTGCTTGACAGGCGATGGTGGCAGATGGAGAAACTCCTCAAGACCAGCAGTCGCAAGCAGTGGCCTGGCTGGTCTGGCTGAGGTGGTGTACTTCCAACAACTTCTTTGGGGGTTGTGGAGGCTGTAAACCAAGAGCGAGAGGTCAGTGTACGGATGCAAGAAACATTGGATGGAATCACCCTTAGCTTTTTGCTACTAGTAGAAATGTTTTTTTGGTAGTAGTAGTGTCCTTGCTCCTAGTAGCGATGCCCTTGTGTCATTCTTCAGCCTTCGCCTTCGATGTGGAACCGTCTTTGTCCAGTGTGGAGCAAGATGATCGCTAGCAGATGCCGCAAGCCCAACGAAGGTCGTTAGCAAAGAAAAGCAGTTGAATGCAGTTGACCTGGTGCATCCAAGGGGGGTTTCGCCTTCCGACTTGCCTTCCGACTTCTGTGAGGAAACCCATGAAGCACGTTGTCTAGTCTCCACACATGCACCTATGATTTTTAAGATGTGGCTGTGGGTCACACAAGTGTGACCTACACACCAGATGAGTTTCATTGGACCTGTTTCTGCTGGGGCGTCCCTTTGGTCAGACTCCCAACGCGTCCTCGCGCCGAACCGCGGAACCGGACGCGGGCGACCCAGTTCTGAGGACAGTGATGGTACCGGAGGGAGCAATGTGGTGGAGGAGGCCGAGGACGAGGAGGTGCGAAAGTAGTGATGGTCCTCCTCGTGTCGTCCAGCCCACCCGTGGGTTGGGGTGGAAACGGGGAAACGTGGAAACCCGAACGCCTGGGTGGGGAAGAGCATGGGCCTAGGAGGTTCTCAGGATTTTCCAACCACAAAGTACGGAGTTGAGTGTCTTTGAAGTGGACAGACTCATAGAAATGCCGTGCTCAATTGAACATGAAGTGTCTAGAGATGGCGTGAGGACCCGTCTGCCGTCTGAAAGGGCTCGTACCACCTGATTCCAGAACGCTTCTGTTCCAGAGTCTTGTTTTCTCGTTTCAGTTTCAGTACTGTAATATGCAGAACCCCTGACGCTCCAAAAAGCACTTGATATGACGAGTCCCAGACTGCGCTCTTCTTTATTGAAGAGAACATTGAACAACTTGGCTTCCGCATGAGACCCCGTGGTGCTCCCCATCAGAGCTTTGGCTTCTTGCCGTTCGTCGTCCTCCGCTGCCAGCATCGTTGCAGGAGGACGACGACCGCATTGCCTTCCGTTCGGCAGATGGCTTTAGCTTTGAAGAGACCGGCCAAGCGAAGACGGAGGCCCCGGCACATCAATGCGCACGGCACGCGCTTGACAATCGTTCGCCTCGGCATTTGTAGGTCGAGGAGAAGTCACAGCAGATTAGCAGATTGGATGGGTTGGCTGTGAAGGCCAGGTCAAAAAGGAGGGGATAGACTTGTGGGGCTCGGCTAAGTTTTTGCAGCTTTTGAACCTGGACTGGCTGGGTATGTGCTGGGCTCCACCTAAGCTGCAACCAATCTTTCTTTGATGGCTTGCTTGCTGCTGCAATTCCAACATGGGTGACTTTTCTGCAATTCCAATATAGTGTTCCTTTTTTTGATCATGGTTCATGGTGAAGCTACTAGTCACAAAGGGCATCGCTACTAGGAATCGATATGTTCGTAACGGAGCTTCGTTTCGCGCGTGTGTAGGGTGCAGCGCTGCCTGGTGACCGGTGACCAGATCCGGAACCAAACCTTTTTCGTGACCTGATCCTTGGGACACTTCCTAGAACAAAACCCATGATGTTTGTCCTGTTTTTCTTTCCCTTCTTTCCCTTCTTTCTCCATCTCATGTCCATTCGGGAATCGATCGTCTTCAAGACACGCACTGAAACCAACAAAACCCTACAACTCCAATCTAACCCAATCAAGCCTAATCTTTTGCCTCCGTAAAAGCGAGGTCCTCGAACTGTCCTCCAGTCGAGGTCCTCTCCTTTGAACGTCCGTGGACTCTCCGTTCTTTCCTCCGGGGAACCTCTGTGGAGACGTCGCCAGGATTTCCTCCGAAGATACGAGTCCGTGGACTGCGAGGTATGGGGACCGGTTTTCAGGGACCCCGGTGGGTCTGGACGTCGCCGGTGGGACGGGGGGGGGGACGGGGTGTTGTCCGTCACGGCGCGGGGACCGGGTGAAGTGAGTGGGGTGGGAGGCGAATGCGAAGTGGCTGATTGGTGGGCAAGCGGCTTTTTTGCAGTTGGGGACTGCATGTTTGCAAAAGTAAAGGCAACATCCGAGTCTGGCTGGCCACCTCCTTTTTCAGATGATCTTCGCTCATGAAAGCAGAGGGTTCCCTTTTCAGTGGAGAGGACAGGAAGCGGGAAGGTCCAGAACGAACATGTCGCTTACGCTGGCACCTGCCCCAGCGTTCTTGCGGCGCTCCGCGCCTGATCGGGAGGGGCGGCTCGGAACCCGGATGGCCACCCACCGACTCGTGCGATGGATCGGTCCCAGCCGATCCCCGGGCGTTCGACGAGATCACGGCGGGGGGGGCGCGAGATGGACGGCGGTTAGGGCGAAGGACGCCTGGACTCGCCAGGAATTTGAGCTGGCCCGTGTGGAAGCCTCGTTGGCTGAGTTGATCAAAGACACTTGGCAGGCCGGCCGTGGTCGCCTCAAGTTCGCCTGAAGATCGGGGACTGTGCGTCATTGGAAGGACTGGGCGTGACTGGTGCTGAGTCATGAGGGGCCTCAAGTGATTGTTTCATGATCGAGGTAAACACAGTATGCGGGGGTGGGTCAAAGCCTGCAGCCCGACCAGTCCACCATGTAGCTTGACCTTCTCGGCATTAAGCCACCTTATCATCTGCTTGGCATGGTCCCGATGGATCATTGCAAGGTCCGGCTTGCGGCAGAACCAGTTGTTAGTCTAGATTACTCACAATGTTACCACTTCCGGAAGAAACTGCGAGCTGTGTGGAACAAGGGCGGAAACCTCGATAGTCTTTCA